CGATCGGCGGGATTTTTTGTCCTTTCCCCCCCCGGATCCGTATGAGACCATTTTTAATATCTCTCGAATGCTATATCATACAGACTCTTGTACAGAAACGACGGAGCCAGCTTCCGAGGTTAATAGTTTGCCATCAAACCACACTGCCACTATTGACCTCCCCTCAAACCAACCGCCTTTTGTTAAGGAACATTCGGTGTGAGTTAGTGGTGACAGTGACCGGTATTTATTGATTCATGTCTTGAGTGCATCACTACTCTTGATACTTTTTGTGAGGATCTCCTAACTTACACGAGAATTGACTCTAGTATGGAAAAGGCTCTGGGGCCAGATCATCCTGATGCCCTCGATAGTATGAATATGCTCGGCGAAACACTGCTCGATCTGGAAAGGTATGACGAAGGGGAGGCTATGTGTCGATGTGCACTGGCGGGCAGAGAGAGAGCTCTGGGACTAGACCATGCAGCTACCCTTACAAGCGCCGATAACCTTGGCCGGACATTATATCATCAGAGAAAGTATGATGAAGCGGAGACAATGTTTCAGTCTGCGCAGGTTGGCAGAAAAAAGGTGCTTGGACTATATCATCGAGATACCCTACTAAGCGTCCTTCGCCTAGGTGTGACGCTGCTTGATCGAAAAAAAGTATGAAGAAGCTGAGGCCATGTATCGACATGCCCTAGGGGGTATGGAGAATGCTCTGGGGCCCGAACATCCAGAGGTCCTCGACATCACCAATACTTTAGGCGAGACGCTGCTTGATCTGAAGAAGTATAGCGAAGCGGAAGTTATGTGTCGGCGTGCGCTGGTAGGTAGAGAGAAGACACTCGGTCTGGATCGCCGAGACACCCTACTAAGTGTCAATAATCTTGGCGTGGCACTGCGCAATCAGAATAAGCACCTGGAGGCAGTGATTAGTTACCGACGTGCATTGAGGGGTGTTGAGAACACGATTGGGCCTGACCACCCAGATACCATAATGTGCATCTATAATCTAGCTAGAGCGTTGCACAAACAGAGAAAGTATTACGAGGCGGAGGTGATGCACCGGCGTGCGCTGGCAGGACGAGAGAAGATTCTGGGTCTAGGTCATCGACGCACCCTCCGTAGCCTCATTGAGCTGGGCAAAGTGCTGGACGAGAAGGGAAAATACGATGAAGCGGAAATTATGTATCGACGTGCATTTACGGAGGCAGAGAGAGCTCTAGGACCGGGCCATTCCTCAACTCTGAAATCTTTCAACCACCTCTCGATGTTTCTCTATGCCCGAGAAGCGAGTGCTTTGGAGAAGCATCATGACAGAGATGAAGGGCTTAAGTTTACTCAGGGATGGAATTATGTTGGTTCTTTTTTATTCATCTCAAATCTCTTATTTTTTTCCCGAAATATCCAGCTGTTATAACGCAGAGTTCCTTTCTTCCTTCTTAGCGGTGATTGGTGGTTTAATCCTTTTGATTAGAATTAATTAGTTTCATAATCAGGGATCCAGAGATTTATTCTTCCATTTAATCAAGACCCTTGTTCATTGTAACCGGTCCGCCAATAGCTCCTGTGGTTTCTTTTCACACCACCTATTCTTATGAAATGGGGGTTGTCGGGCACACGGGAAAAGTGCTCTTCCACCCGGTCATGAACCAGTGCCAACCATATAGCAAGCATTCTGCAACATCGAATGTTCCTCAAGTGGACTCAGGTATATACTACACCTTACCACCAAAGGGAATAGAACATAGTCGGAATACCCTGGTTGTGCAATACGCGGTAGAGAGCTAAAGTCAGACGCTTCCACTGAGACATTCTAATAAAAACCTCTTCCAGATGCGAGCTACCATTCATGCATGACACAAACAAAGCCCGGGTCAGATCAAGCCACAAGCTGTTCAAGTCTACCATCATGCAAGGTGAGCAACCTGGCCCGAGCATATCATTTCGAACCTCGTTGCACCGCCAAGCACCGGTGAGGGAACTAAAAGCTCTCTGACGACTCTTGGAAAAGTTGCTAGGTCGCGGGTGGGATAGATCCTTTGGAAGAGCGCTGGATCTAGTTTCCCCAGCGCTGCTTCTACGCACACAACAGAAGCACCACCGGGAACTCTCTCCACGATGCCAACTATAGACCGCCGCCTATCCTACCTGGGGCGGTGTTCTCGTCTAGCTCGGTGCGCAGCTATCTGATAATACCACCTCTCCTGGGAGCGGTATATACACTCTCTACTCTTACAGAAAGGTATCTTTCGATCTTAGATGGAATGTGCTGTCATCCGGTTACCAATATTCGACTTGTGTTTTTTCTTCCTTCTATTATTCGAGGTTCATCCTTGTTACTCGCAGTAAAGATCTTACCAACCCCTGAATTCCCATAGCAAGCAAAATTGCGTTTTCAGATTCACCTCCCTCACTACCGGCTCATCAGCCTCTAAATTCCTCGGTTTTCAAGAGCCATTCCCCACGTTTTCAACTCAGCGGCCTATTCGACACTTGAACAGTCCTGCATTTCGTACTCAAAGAATTGATGTCGTTGCTGAAAGATTGAGACCTTTCCTGTCCATTACCACTTAGGATATCCCAGATGATAGGTGATGGAGTCAGACAACTACCGGAGTCCTTGGGGTTTTTTGTGAAGACTCACGGATACCCCAGGACTGACCAACCAATCTCCCCCAAATTTGAGCGAGTAATACCCTGCCTGGGCCCGCCTCAACGGGAGCAGGAAATACTACACCTATCCTGCGGTACTGTACAGTACAGTACGGCGCAAATCTTCCACTAGGATGAACGAACACCTTAGATTCTTAGAGCGCCTGTGGTAGAATCGGCTAGCTTGGTATATACACTCGCTAGACAAAGGTCTCTATGGGACGGAGTTCCCCCCTCCCTGAATGGCCCCCGCTCTCCAGCGTGTGCCGCCAATTCCGCAATACTCCTCCCAATAGCAGCACTGGAACCTCCGGGGAAGGGTTTGTGCCCAGCGACTGTCTACAATTAGATCAAGTCTCAAATCCAGAGACTCGCAAATCGCATAGGTTGAAGCGCCATAGCGTGGTTCGCTGTGATGTTGATACCAGGCCGAAAGCTCTCCCCGCAACCTCGCACCGGGCTCTGCACTGACAGGGGCCGAGCTTTTTTATTTCATCCGGACCGCCCAGGATAGCACACGCACAGCCCAAAGCAGTGCAATGTCACGGCAAATTGCCACATTTACCATGACATCCCCCCACGACCGAGAAGCAAGCGCACCCAAACCAAATATAATTTGGACAGCTAACCTAAGTGGTAATTCCAAGAGTGGTTAGACATGCAGACCAATAATCCTTCATCGGACTCCAGGATAATTCAATATCCAAGATTTTACCACAAAAACCAACCCCCGCATAGAGCAATTCTCAGCTTCGCTCTGAAAGAAATAACCACACAGACAACACTCTTAACACCTCCTCCAGTGCCGGTAGTGCTGAGCTTCCCTATACCACACCTCACTACATCACGCCGAATATTAGTTAGGAGTATCATCCTCGACGTAAACCCTGAGCAGAACGGAATACACCACTACAATCGGTACAGCAGAACGGCAGCTGCGATGGAATGGAGACGGAAAATACACTATAGGAATTTCGACGGCTTTTCCCGAATTACTTGTTTTCATCCATCGAGCCCGTTAACCTCATCGTGGTATCCTGCGTTGTTCTGGGGGGAGGGCTACAGCATAAGTAGTGTTTTTTCTCTTCGCTATCGGTATAAGCTACTAGATTGGAGGATGTGATGCCACCTCTTTCTGCTGGGCGGTGACGGGTTAGTTCAAGCACCAGTCAGTTTTTTTTTAGCGGAATGTTGGGAAATTCAGCGCCAACGGAACTACTGTGAATAGTACGAGTATAGTGGGTACAAAAAATAATAATAATACTCAACTCTGCCACAGCTCTTGAGCGCTATTATATCCGGGCAAATAAGTGACTTGTTGTATCACCTTTCTCCCCAGTTGTTTAAAACGGCGTCACAAACTGTCACTCGATTAAGTTTAGGTTTCGAACTGAAAGTTACGGCGCGGTATGATACGATACAATGGAGTGCCACAACTTACGGCATACTCACCGGGCACCGTCAGCAGTGGCAATGTAGGAAAGGCACTTTAGATCTTAATGGAGACCTAACAGAGATGGGGGAGTTCATGGGGCCCGGAGAGGAAGGAATCCCAAGTTAGATTCTTTAATACAGAATTAAGCCCGGAATTACGGATGGGAATACCTCATGTCTATCCTTGCTCTTCCTCCGAAGAGCCCCACAGGTTGGCTACATGGGGCACTTTCTCCGGTGCGGACTCCTATAGCAAATGATATGGTGCCATTACTCGTCTAAAGGAAGCTGCATGCCCCGAACCCAACGGATAACAACAACAATGGTATCATAAATGCCTCAAATGTCGCAACCGATCTATTGACCTTGATGGGGTTCTTTTTCTCTCCCATCACAAGATCTACCATGCATCTTCATCTGTGACCGCTCTGCGATAAAAATGCATATGTCGACCGCCCGGCCCTTGTCCTTGTCTCTCTTGCTTCGAAGCTGAAACATCCCTTCACAGACCAATCCTTGATTACCTCTTTAGAATCGTGAAATTTCTGAATGGTTGGTGAATGGTAGAAGCCTGTGTTGGGTGCTGGAGCTCAGGCATGTCGGATAGTGGGATAGTGGGAGGAGGGACAGAGCAGGGGGGGTATTGTTTGCAACGGGGAGGTGATATAACCAGCATTTTGTACTCGAGTACTTACGGTGGTTGTATAGAAGTGCGGTTGGTCAGAGTTTTGTTTATGAGCAAGTCCCGCGAGCGCTTAAGGGCGCGTCACCGACAATGGAAGGTAGAAATGAAAATAAACAAATCCGAGCTAATCTTATAAAACCCAATAGATTGATTGCGGTATTGAGGAATAGTGTGGGATTTTAGGGATATAGTTTGAAAATTCATAGCATTTGAGACCTTTATGTTAATAATAATACACCGCCCCTCAGCGCTTTTTTCTCGGGATATTCCAATGCCCCCGCATATCCCTCTTTCCACCCTTCTTTAGTGACCTCGTTTTTCTCTTCATCGGGTACAGCCTAAACCTGTCCCCAGCAGTAGGTGGCCTCTCACCCTCCAACGGCGCTAGAACATCTTCGTGGTCCAACTCCACAATCTGTCCTAAAATTCTGTCGTCCGCGTGATCCTGAATAAGCAAGGGCTTGGGTTTCAGTGGCTCGGCCGGAAGGCGATACCGAGTCCTTGGCGGGTCCTTCATCTCAAATAGCAGGTCGGTCGTAGGGGGGACTTTCTTTAAATCTGGTCCCTTCTCTATCCTACTCTTGATCTGGGCGCTTGGGACGTAGGCGCTTTTTACTACGTGCTTTGTGTACACCACTGGCTCACCGTTCTCCACAGTTTGGCCCTTGATGCGCCAGTCGAAGCGGAAGCTCTTTAGCCAGTGGCTTGGGAACAGCGAGAAGTCTGAGTCGACTTCGTGCGCGGTCTTGACAACGTATTGTATGCTCCGCCGGATACGCTCGAATTGCCCGTCGTTGAATTTGCGGCCTTGGAACTCGGGGTGAATTCGGGCTTGGTAGAGGATTTCTTCGCTGTTGGAAGGTTAACTATTTTCACTCGTAAACTGTGTATTTCCTGATACTTGTGTGTGTGGGGGGGGGGGTTAATACCTCATCCAGCTTCCAAATCCAGCTATATTCTTCTGATCTGCTAGCAGTAACCGTGCCGGGCTATGCTTGGTGAACTTTTGTCGCAGCCACTCCATCGTAATCTCTGTCTGTAAAGGATCTGGTCCCAAATCGTTTAATGGAGCCTGCTTAGGGATATCTTTGGAAGAACAATCCATCAGCCGCAACCGCCCCAGCCGGCGGGGGTCAGCGAACATAGCTTCATCCTGTGATCCGTGGATCTTCAGATGAAATATTTCCCCCTTGGGAGGCCAGTTGGTGAACTCGGGCTTTTCCCGTGCGTAGTAATGCGAGTAAGGATCGCTTTTGAAGAATACCCAACCGGCGATTCCTATTTAATCAGCCGAGCCCAATATTCGGACATTATAGCTAACCTAGAGGGAGGTGGGAGGTTGTTACCCAAGTGCATAACGGGATGTGGCGGTTTGTCCATTTCTAACCTGTCAACTCGTTAGAAATAGAATCCCCTCCTCACGGAATAGCGGTGAAAGGATGAAATACCAAAGATATCTCCCTAAGGACTTTGCATCAAGTACCGTTCTCCCCTCCACCGCACTGATAAATTTTTTTGCGGTTGTATCCTTAAATACCACCGGATCATCCATCGCCGTAACATTTTTTAACGTCTTTCCAGCAAGGTGCTTCTTCAATCTGCCGGCCAAGCGGGCAACCTGTACTAATTCTGGCATATTCAGGTTTGCCGGCGATGTGAAATTCACTGGACCTTAGATAGGAGGTTGAAAAATTCAACATCAGATCTCTCTTTTCTTCTTTTTTTCGTTTCCACTTTCCCCTTTCGGTGGTTCGCATGGCATGGCATGGATTAGATCTTACCTGTCTTGGCATTCGTCATCCAAGACCGTTTGATGATCCTTTGCTGCCACTGTTTCAACCTTAACTTGACTTCAACTCATTCCACTACTCTCGCTTTATCATAGACGATAGAATTACTATCACACTCGCTCAATTTACAATCTCTCTATTTATTTCTTCCTTCTTGCAGCTTCCATAGTTCGGCCCGAGAACAGCAATAGCAACAGTATTAATGTCCGACGGGCAACGCCAAGCAAGATTCGATCATCCACCACTCACGCCCAGTCTTTGCTTCACCACCGGCGCGTTAAAAGGTTTTGTTCACACATTCTCAAACACTTAAGTTGCCCTCTCACCACGTCCACCCCACTAACAACCCCAATAATTCCTAGGATTCCTCCGCCTCTCGAGATCTTCAATAGACGACAATATAAGCCAAAACCTTAACGCCCTCTCCACACCCTCAAAACCAGCCTTTGATCCAACCACAACCTCAACCCCCTACCCAATAGCCCCTACCAGACACCTTCCAGCGCAAACATGTCGTGCCTTTACAGAGCAAATCCTTCTCCCGTCATGGCAGTCCCGCTCCGACGTCCTCAATTACTGCGCCGCTGTTGCCACGAGTGATGACCCTGACGACCCAGACTCAATCATTAGGCTTGTGGAGGGCATGGTGGACAAGGAGCGTGTGGTGGATGAACGATTGGATCCTTATTCCGGGAGGTTCTTTCCCAGGGAGAGCAGGACGGAGGTGCTTACCCGGGTTGTGCGCAACGAGAGGATGGTGGAGAACATTGTTAGGGAGAGGACGTGGAGGATCGTCAAGGAGAAGTGCGGCGAGTTTGGAGCTCTCGGGGAAGATTGGAGGGGGGTTCTGAATGCTTGGAGAGTAAGGAAGGGGGAGTGTGAGGCTGCGGTTATTCATGGAAATTAAGTTTTGATGGGGTGGATTACAACTGTCAGTGGAAGAAAAAAGGGGGTAGAGGGTTTTCTTTCCCCTTGTACGATAGATAGTGATTTTTGCTTCCGTGGGTGTTACTTGCATTGTATAGTATAGATTTGCTGTTTGACAGGTTTCATCGTACCATTAGAATGCAAAAGTTCTCTCCACTCATTGTGGGCATAATTTATAAAAGCTGTATACTTTTGGACACATAATAGTTTATCGTTAATCGGCCGTTGAAACCAATAGTAACACGATAAAACTACACCCTAACACTGAAAAAAAAAAAAAAGGCCACCCCAATCCCACTGCCACTCGATCACAGTACAACGCACTACCCACGCCAACCCTGTTAGATTTCCTATAGAGCATGCGGTTTGGTGGTTGCATAGATCTGCAGGTATGCGCGTATGCAACTAGGAGAAATCTGGTTAGAGGGTATGCGGCATTGCGGTTTGTGGTGGCTAGGCACTTAGCAGAGGGTAGTTGTTTTCACATCCTATGCCTACCGGCATAGGATATCCCTTTTGTGGTTTCTTTCATACCCTATGCCACCTAGGCATACGGGCATTGGCATACTGGAAGGGTGAAGATTTCAGGGATCTTGGAGGATTACGGGCTATCAGGATGATTCTAGATTTCCGGAGGTCACTGGAGATTGGGGTTGGTTAGCTTGGTGTGTTTCCTTAAAGTCCGTTGAGTTTTCGGTAACGTTTTGTTGCTTGAGATATATCTTCCTGATGTCCTTAGCAAGAGAGAGAGAGAGTAGCGAATGTGTTTACGATTTTTCCTCCATTCTTAGCCATCGCTCTCAGAGTCTAATATGTATGATTCCACTTTTTGTTCTTTTCCTGCTTTTTTCCAGTTCTATTAAACCATCTATGCCGGGTAAATCAATTCCATAAATGTATCTGCAGGTACAGTAGCTAAAAATACAAGGATCAAAAGTCTGGTCTTTGTTTTAACAACCAAGTTTGGATTTTCCCGCTCAATCCCGGTTTCCACAAAAACACTCTCAAGACCTCGGCATGCTCGCGGTGAACGAATCACCTCACTTGTGGAATTTGAATCAACCGAACGGTAGATTGTTGTGTGCAGGGTGACGAAGGAGGGGAGTATTTTTGGTGTGAAAAGCATGACTGGCGATTGTGAACATGAGGCGAGGCCGCGCTGGAAAGCGTACGATACGTCATCGTCGCGGAGGTGTCACCGGCAGGCACGAACATTATGAATATGAATACTGAATACAACCCTCGAATGCGACAGACTTGTTAGCTACAGGGTCTGAATAGGGAGGGAGGTAACATGGCCTTGTACATTATGTGCCCGCCAAACACAATCTCCACGGCTGTTATGATAATGCACTCCTGAAAAAAAAGAATAAAAAAATAGTACTGTACAGTACTCGTGAAGCTCAGCGTCTATCTACAACTGATGTTTTTGTCGCCCTCAATCCAGGGTAGATCGGGCAGGTGTGTGTGCATAGTAGCGGTAGGAGCGAAGAGCAAAATCACCATCGGCTCCGGACAGAAAAGACAGTGGTGATGGGGGGAATACAAAGGGAGAAAAAAGGAGAGTATCATAAATTTCTATAACGGTGAGAATCACTGGTCCAAATCTTCTCGCCCACTGCCCACACAGCCGCCCACGGTGCCCCAATATAAACAACAATTCCACCAAGAAAAGGCACAAATTCACGGTACGACAGTGAGTGTACTGTACAAGCAAGTCACAACACATCCACCCCACAGCTTTAATTTACCGGTTCTCGAGGGATTTTCGTTGCGACTCTTCGGTAGTAATTAATCACCATCCCATTCCCCCCCCTCTTTGTCCCATCTCTCCTTCACCTTAAGTTAGTCCCACTGCTATTGGCCCTTCGCCGCCAAGATTTGATGTAGTACTCGTACAAGTATCATACAAGCATGATACCCCATCTTCCTGGTGGATGTGGCATGTAGACTAGTCTACCCCCACCGCCAATGGGATACCATACTCGAGTATGATACGAGTAAATTTAGTTTACCGCACTTGGGTGTTTGGAGGAGGTTCGGCTTGGGGATGGCGTATCATAGCTTGGCGCTCTCCCGCCACCGCAAGTCAAGGTTGTGCGAGTGGCGGAGGCTGGTGTTCTGCTGGAGTTTTTGTGAATGGTTACGGTCCCCGGAAGGTAATTTAACCGTAAATTATTCGACGTAACCTCTATGGCACTGAAATCATCCCCCAACTCCACATAACCCCCGTCACGCCATATCCCAAGCTCCAGATAAGTGGCATATATCACCAACAGCGAGTCAATGTCACTCACGCCTCCACTCAGAACAAAATATACGTGTCATGTGATCACCCAAGCCCGCAAGGCCCCGCTCTCAGTAGAGGCTTCAGCCAAGCAAAAGGCAAGCGATCATAAGCGCTACCGGGTGAAGCGCGGCATCAAATATAGTCCAATTTATTGGCACCGTCACATGATACTCCACACACTCTATTAGTCAATCTACGCTTACATGCCCGATACGGATTTACCACATGTGTGTTACAATACTATATTGCTCGCGGATTGCCACACAACTAGACTATCTACGCTGAGGGACGAGTTGTTCTTAGCAGTCAGGTCGGTGATGTGGGGAGCAGGAGCTTCTGGGGGGATTGCGGATTCTAGGGCGGTGTGAGGAGGTGTTGGTTGGGGTTGGGAGTCTGGGCTTGTTGTGCCCCGTTCCCGCTGGTATGATACGAGGTATGATGCCATAGTCTGGTTAGTAGGCGGTACAATAGTCTTGATATAACGGGGGGTGGGGGGGTTGGTGG